TTATAATAAAAATGGTGTGGGATTATAATCATAACATGTACTAGCGGAATGATCTGGTATTGTAAAATGATTTTTTTTATATGCTGCACACCGGGTGAAAAATCATTAGTGTAATATCGACGGTTCCTCCTATTTTGCTACTGCCGCTACGGAATTATGAATGCAACTCTATACATATGTGTATATCCGGTGATCTATACGCGTGATAAATTCATGTGTAAAAGATAACCAAAATTTGATGAATAAATCACGCGGACCAATCAAACTTAGGATTTTGTGGACGGATACCATTTCAAATATCATATAAGTCATGCACTTAGTGATTTCATCACTCCGTTGGTATATTTATTATACAATAATTATAGAGTAAATCATTATAACGCAAGCCCCATTTTGAGCAACACCAAATCATGCGAAAACGAAATAAGATAGATTAATGAAAACGAAGGGCATAAAATAGTAAAATGTTTATAACAAAATTAAGAATACAGGTGGAATCTTGTGTAAAACAATGTTGAGTTCGGAAGATTGCGACTCTGTCGCTCCACAATCTAATTTCTCGCGTAACGTACGATAGGTGGTGGGTGATTAAGGCTTTCGGTTACTTTGGGTCAACGAATACAAGTAGGGTAAGTCACGTGAACAAGAACTTGAACGAACAACGATGGTTATTGGGGTTTACAGGGTTTATACCGGGTATAGTGTTAGGGTTTTATTATTGACGATACAATGTATTGGGACTTGTTTATTTAATAAAGCAAACGAAGCATACTGCTCCTAAGGGTCATTTCGGCCTTTATTTATAATACTGAATTTGTCGCTCACAAATGCGACTTATCTATTAAAACTAATTAAACTATTTACACGTATTTATCTAATATCCATCATGTCCTCCATTTATTCCCTATATACCCCTTTGGATCCAAAATACCATTCCGATCTTAAATGTAACTTATTGCACTTAATGCATTTCGTCCATTTTTCACGTGATCGGTCACGATATTCCGGTATCACAAAAAGTAATAACCTGAGAAATATGACAATCCAAGAGCCACGGCAATAAATAGTAAGGGTCCGTGTTCAAATCAATAACTAGACAAGAAAATTTAAACACTTTAAAATACAAGCATGATATTGATGCAAAAAAATTATATAGCGCACAAATACAGACATACACTACGTTACATGTTGTACAAATTCCGTTCCTGGTATAAAACCGAAAAATGTTCTTAATATATTTATAATTTAAATTTACAGATACAGTAACATGAATTAAAATTTCTATACTAAGTGAGACTTATAATATTTTTATTCTAATTACATATCTAGCCTGCATATTTGCATTCCTCTGATGGTACGTTTCCATCTGTCGGAATAGTCATTTGAAGGTGTCCTTCCCCTGTCTCACGTAGGGCTAATCTTCTATTCCGATGTTCTTTAGACATAATACCAGTACACCCATCTACAGGTTTACTTGCCGCATGGGCTCCAAATGCCCACCAAGTTGAAGCAGAATAGACTTCAGCTGCTATAATAGGTGTACAAAAACTAAATAATATAACAATAACACCTATTACATGAATCATTATTTGTATAAATAGAACTAATCTAATTAACTTAATATCATTGAACTGATTAACAATGGTAGTAAATGTGCCTTCAATAGGTTTAGTAGTGCCAAATCCGGTATTAATAAGATAATGACCTTTTCGCAATAATAATTTAATTTGCATGGCAAGAAATTCTGTTGAAAACTTCCCATCAGTATTGTTTCCAAGAAATTCGTCAAACGGACTCCGGTAAAGTTGAGATACAACCATTGACAAATGTTGTAAAGATAGGATTGTATAATCAGCTATTTCTAGCTGTCCTTTGTTAGGAGTCACAGTTGTAGTGTTTGTAACAGTTGCATTTTTACGTGAAAAGTCTATATACACGTCCCCTTGTTGTTGTGTATACTTCACACCGCATACAGTCCTGTTTAGCTGATTTTTGGTTGTCGGAAAAACGATCTTACCTGTACCATTTCCATAGGAAAATGATGCCATGCCAACTATGTTATCAAATCCCCATGCAGCAACAGAGTAGAATATAAATTTATCGGGGAATTTCGTATCATTGGCCTCCACATAGAATATACCAGGAATACCATTTTCTCCTTTTCCAGGCTGAATTAAAGTCACTTGCTGTCCTAATGTTTGATTAGATTCTATTGAACAATCAACGGTATAATCGAATAAAGGTACATTTGAATAAGTAGCAGTGGCATTAATTGTTCCATTCATGATCTCCACTATAGTAGGTACAGGCTTTTGATCCGAAAAAACCATCCCTTCGTATTCTCTCATGCCAGTATCATTAGCTACTTGACTGTTAGCCAAGTAGTCCATCATGCCTTCAGGGGTCAATCCAAATGGACACGTATTTAATTTCCGAACTAGAGTACCTATTCTGTATGAGCTGCAGTTGACCTGAAATTGAAGGGAAGACAGTAGTCTCAAACCTCCACTTGCAGGACTGACCTTTGTATGTGCAAATGTGTCTGTTATTAATTGTCCTTTATGAATTGTAAATGCAGTATTATGTAGAGCACTGACAGCACCACCGAGGACAACCATCACAATGGCAGTAATCCAAGCTATCTTACTTAGTTTCAAACTTGAGGGACCTATCGATTGAGATAGATGTGCGTCTAGTTCAATTATCCTGAATGAATGTGCAACGCGCCATCGCAAATATGTCTCTTTGACACTTTGAATTACTCTCATTGCAGCCAATATGCAAATTGTACTCATTGCTAGCAATCCATACTGCCAAATTTGGAGCATGAATCCATCAACCTGTCGAAATCCATATAATTGATCTGAGAAACCACCTTGTGCAGCGTTATATAATAGCATCAGTGGTGTAATGCCTACAGCAGCTGTCAACAGTTCTAGGCACAGTCTGATAAATTTCTCTTTCGTACTCATACTATAACGTCTTAATTTTTTCCCCGCAGTTAAAAATTTCTGGTTTTCGTTAAAATCATAGCCTTCTTTATCAATGAGTTTCAGCATCTTTATTATTTCAAGCAAGAAAAAATGTTTAATGGAATTTAAATAATATAAAAATACACAATATAATAGGCAAGCTAATTATAGCAATGGTAAATTTGATTACAACTATAAAAAAAAATTTGTTTTTCTTGATCAAGATCGTTCAAAAAAAATTCAGAATGGAGTCGTTATGGGTATATTCACAAGGATAAATCCTTATTTTTTTCAAAAGAATTTTATACTATTTTATAAATCAATAAAAATTAAAAAAAGATCAATCTATTTTTTAAAGAATATTCTAACAACAAGAACGTTTCATGAGCGTTTCATATACATAGATAGAGGACAAGTTGAGCCATTTAGACTTATTTGGTAACAAAATTATAGTTTAACTAAAAATAAAAATTTAATTCCATTTACGTACCCAAATCAGAATTTCTGTTAAAATAAAACAAGGATACTGTATTATCAGCATGTCACACTGCAGACCAATATTGTCGCTCAGACAACACTGATAACATTTGGAGACAACATTTGGACAGATTTATTATCGCAACGCTTTAAATTATTAATTAAAGTTAACTTTCGTATATATATACACACAGTTGTTAGGATATATTTATAAGCCATGTGAGTATTAGACCGTCCGACGGACAGTTCGCTAGACATTTCAAAAAGGCAAAAATGTACGTTGTGAAAGAGTAAATTGCCATCGTGGAAGTACTACGGTCCCGACGTAATACAGCTTTTTTCCATTTTTGTCCATTTTTGTGGTTTATCGTTACCGTTACAGTAATATTTTTGCCATTTTTGTTATTTTTATTTTGAATTATGTAGATCTTCGTGACTATTGAAAGCCAGTGACTTTTGTCATGGGGACAAATCAGCTACCATGAAAGATCGTCGCATATGCACTAGTGATGCAGGCGGAACTGTCCCAATGAACCGTACGACAAATAGCAAGTTACGTTTACGGTTGCGGCAAAAACCGCACGAGTCCCAAATAAGTAGCTGCGCAACGCAGTCACGCGAAACCAGGAACGGGGAAAATCTACGCCGACTCCATTTCAGTCATGGGAAACCATATTCTTGATTGCAATTAGAGATGGGCACGTGCGGG